CTACAGACAGACTTGGGCCGGTGTTGGCGTTTTTTCCAAAGACACGATTTGGCTGCCGTCACTAGCCTCACTCAGAATTTATCTCAGAAGACGACTCCTCATCTTCCGACTCTGACAAATCATCAGTCACCTTGAGCCGCATCGCAGCAGGAGATGACAGCTGCCATTCCGCCTCGCTGTCGACGTCGATGTCAGAACCAAAGAGTGTCTCATCCTCACTCTGAACTTCAGCGGCTACTTCAGCATCCACTCTCCACCAGGCTTGAGCTAGCTCTACACAATGACTGTCACGCGTGCTCTGGCGTCCGCAGCCATTGCACCAAGATCAAGGAACACTCGAGTCGACACTTGACACCACTTCAAACTTCAAAATAAATTACTTCACGCAAAGAGTTCAAGAAGCTCGTCACACTGTTTGCAGCGTGATCAAAAACCGTTGAACTTCACAAATCGACCTTTTCTCGAAAAATTATGGAACCTCTAAAAGGGTCATTTTCGCTGATTGTGGCTCATTTATTATTTTGCCTAAACTAACATTCTACACAAACACTTGTGGCCGAGGCTCAGTATCCCTAAACGTTTTCGTTGCCATCTCATTAGAAGGATTGTGTATGTAACACCAAATGAAGATGTAACACAGTATAAACACGGAAAAAGCAGTGGAGGAAAGAAATGGCAATTTTTGGGCAACACAATCAGAGCTGTGAGTGAGAGACAAAGGTGCTAGTGTGGATGAAACCACAACGTTGAACTAGGATGGCGACCCAATGTAAGTTTGGATGAAACTGAGAATGAGACAATGGTATGAGTTATGACTAACTGTATCTGATCTGGTTATGTTGTTGGACAGTTAGTCATAACTCGTACCATTTTGCCCTTCTCCACTTTAACCGAAATCACAACGGTTCCTCCTTCTCTTTTTGAAGAGGATTTTTTAAAAGACTACTTCCTCCGCGTCATTGAAATTGTCGCATTTTGAGTGGTGACTTGGCACCGTGGCATTTTGACACGATCAACATAATTTGAGCCAGAGCACGCTAAAATATGACCACAGACCAAAAATTCGATTTTCAGTTTTTGTTTAAAAACTATCTAACACACCTAATGTTCGCTGTCTGAAAGTTTTGGATTGATCGGACATGTCTAAGTGTTGCTACAATGGTATTATATGCAGCACTGCTGAAATGGCGAATTTATATGTACAGCAATGGGATTGTCATATTTGCACACAATTGATATGCCCCTTGGTTCATCCTTTCCGGGTCAATTCCTCCGTCCAGGGTCTTATAGCATGAGCTGACAGGTACTCAGCCACATCCAAATTGTCTATAGGCAGCTGAGCTGGGTGTCCGAAATACCTCCTGTTTGGAGCACCACTGGAGAACCGCCAGCGAAAACACGGTCAACATCTGTAGATGTCCGAAGAAGTTGGCACTCCATGTCCTCTCCATCACACTCCACCTGTACTTTCAGATATACAGTATACACTGCTGCACACAGTCTTCCAGTTCCTCAACATACTAGACGTCGCACTCATATCCCCCACCAAAGCCCATCTGCATACGGTTTTCTCTCTCGCCAGAGAGTACTGCTTTCGCAGCATACTGCTCATGCTAGCGATGTTCCGCATAAGGGTACTCAAATTATCGACTTGAGCAAGTTGAGGGAGCAGCAGAGTCCATTGATTGTTTTTGCTCTTGCAACCAATACTGGCATTGTCTCGGATATGTGCAGCGGTGTCCATTCTGGCCAAATCATCGGCCGACTCACCTCCCAAGTCAGTGTCGATGCCAATCGCTTGCCAGGTTGTCATCAGAGTAGAATTCCTCGTCACTGCAGATCGTGAGACTACCAGCATCAATTCTTTTTACGCTCGATGAAACTGTCGCCCTCAAATGACTCGTCGCTGTAGCCATCATCGTCTTCCTTCTGTTTCCGACCCAAGTCCTCAAAATATTTTATCCTGCGCATGGAGTGTGATGATGTCGTCTTCTTCCGCTCCGCAGTACATTACTACTACTAGGCTCTTCTGTCGCTACATCGATGACGATCAGTTTTAGGCGACTCAGCGCAACATGGAATACAAACTCAAACAAATAAACTTACTTGCAACAAAGAATTGCATCCGGAACAGTCTAGTCGACCGAGGAGAACAACAACAGCGACTCGCGTTGCACTGCACCTCGTATTTTTTGCCGCGGAATTCAAATCGCGATTATCTCGACTTTTTCAAAAAAAGCTGTGGTCATGTTTTAGCGCGCTCGGGCTCATATCTACCACACGCCCTATCAAGTACATTGGTGGTACCAGCCAAACTCTTTCTCCGGTCCAATTCACAGTGAATGCATCAATACCCGAGCACCCCGGGTTCCACCACCTTGAGCAGAATCTACTCATTTGCTTTGTTCTGCTGCTTGCAAAGCAATCAATGCTATGAGGGCCCCACATCGAATCCAGCCAATCGAACAATTTGGGATTTAACTGCCAGCCATCCGTATCTGACAGCTTTGAAAGGTAATCGGCCAGCTCATTTTCTTCGCGAGGCACCCATTCTGCCAGCAACTGAATGCCGTGCACGGCGCACAGCTTGTGAATCTCCAGTGCTTCGCTCTGCAAATGAGATTTTTTTGAGGTTGTTTTCTGGTTGGCTCATGTGTCATCATTCCCGCTCCTGGCAGATAGTCGTTGCTGCATCAGCTGTACGATGGACACCCAGGCATCACGAAGATGATAGCGCTGGCCCACAACTCTTTCTGGTGGCCATCCCTGGACAGAGATCGAGCACGCAGTCCGAAGCTGTTCATCATGTCAGGAGGCTCAGAAGTCGCCCAACCCAAGCTTTGTTCATCCGTGAGAATGGCCAGGTCGGCCATGGTCTCGCGTCCACATGGATTACGCTGGCCCTATCGATGGCAAGATGCTCTTGATTCTGGTAGATAGCCACAGCAAGTACATTGAAGCACATGTCACGTCTGGAGCGACATCAGCTATTACCATCCGTAAGCTTCACTGGTCATTTGCTAGTGTTGGACTGCCGTCATGTCTGGTGACAGATAACTGTCCTGCTTTCAGCAGGTCTGAATTCGCTGCGTACTGCCAGTCCAATGGTATCAAGCTTGTCCCTGTTTCACCATACCATCCTGCCACTAATGGTCTCGCTGAGAGAGCCGTGCAAACAGTCAAGAGAGACATTCGCAAGGTCGCCTCTGGTGACTTAGAGTCACCGCTGCACAAGTTCCTATTTATGTATCGTCGCTCAGCGACGAGCCAGACACCTTTCCAGCTCCTGTGGTCTCAGCAACAGTCTCGCTCTCGCATTGACCTCGTGTTTCCTGATATCGGTGCACAGGTGGAATCCAAGTAAGCCGGCATGTGCGGTGGTTGGACACCATCGGCATCCGAGTTCCTGTGCGGTGATGCAGTTTGGGTGAGGAACTTCGCCTGGTCCCCGAAGTGGCTCCCTGGTGCTCTCGAAGAACGTCGTGGTCCTTTGACCTTCAGAGTGCGTCTAGATAATGGTCGTCTGTGGAAACGGCATGCTGACCATGTTCATCTACGAATGCCAGGCCACAGCTCACCAGAATCTTTAACATCAGCTCCAGTCCGTCATCAACAGTCATTTTCTTATTCTCAGTCTCCTAGTCTGTCTTCGCCGACTAATCATTCTTCTACCGCCACTTCAGTTTTTGATTCTGTACCCGAGCCTTCTCCTGCAGCGCCTTCTTCTTCACTGTCTCCTGTACCTGCAGTTTGTTTGAGTGCTGATAGTCCTGTTGCTTCGAATCCTGCTACTGTTAGTTCTGCTGCTGTTGTTCTGCGACGCTCCAGTCCGTTCACATGGGGTGATGCGAATAGCGCGAATCGATTCATGAATCGATTCGCGGGCATAATCGAACGCACTCTGTTGCATGGCCTAGGTAATGGCTTGGTACTGAAAGCGCTATGAAGCATCAGAGGACAGCAAGAGGAAAAAAATACTTTTAACTTAAAAGTCCATATCCAGCACCGAAAAACATAAGGATGGCATGCACAGGCGAGATCAAGACACATAAAGCTTTAACCAGTTGACTTGGCCTGGCAGCTTACTGGGGTGTAACGCACACTTGGCACAATCAAAGTAGTGACTTAACCTCCATGAATTGGTTTGGCGTGGCAACAATGGAGTTGTGCAGTTTGCCATCATGTTACCTCACCTCACGCATTGCCGACTGCCGCGACTGAGTGATGTTTATGCGCTACCTGCTGGTCTAGTTATCGCTCCATCTGGAACGTACACTTTGTTCTATTGAGAGAATCCGGGAACCCTAGTCTTACTCTCTGGATGAAGGAAACCGGGACAGTAACGCTTCCCAACCCTGGTCAACATCACCCCCCCCCCCCCCTACTGTTGCTGTCGCCTTCTCTGTTGTGCTGTTTACTGCTGCAATAGTCCAAAGTTGTTGTCATCCCTGTTTGCACTAATACAATCCCTTGCTGCACTTTGAAGTTGTTTCCGTTGCCCATGTACTCATTATTCTTTGCTTGCTTTTATGCTGAGGGAACATATGCTGGATCCCTGTACTGCATAACCCGCATACTCATTCGGCTCATTCCGTAGAAATTATTGATGTAACGAATAATTGATTATTCGAATTTTCTCGATCTCTTGCACCTCAAGTTCTCAACGAATAATCGATCGGATATAATCTAGGTTGAAGGTTCGAAAATTCAAATATTCGCAGGCGGACAAAGTCTGTGCGCTGCATACCATGCGCGCAACCCTAGATCTCTCGACTGGAATGCATAAACTAAGTTCCTAAGTTAAACTACAGTCCATTCATAACAAGATGGGCCCTGGCTCTGGCGAGCTCCCGTATTTGGTGATTTTTAGTGATATTATCGTACAGAGTACAGTGCTGCAGAATTTGAAATTTGAAAAAGGGTCCGAAAAGGGTACCTGAACTGGAGTTCTAACCGCAGAGTGCACCTTTGGGTAACTTTTTTGTGTTGTTATATTTTAGGACATTGTTACTCCACTTGATCTGGCATTGCGAGGAAGGCATACAGAGGTTGTGTCCGTCATATTGAAGTACATCCGTACTCTACTTAGCAATCAAGAGGTAATCACTCTATAGTCCATTACAGGTACCGGTATACTAGTAGTACAGGTTTGCCTTTTCGACTTATCCAGATGAACTGATTTGTGCCAGCAGACCCATGAGTCATGTCCTGGTGTTGTTACCTGGCACTCTGATAGTTGCTCTCTTTTATGTATGCATAGGCTTTTGGTGAAGCAAGTGATGAATCAGGGGCGTCACACACGGTATGACTACTACGGCCATGGTCGTACCACTTTTCGTCCAGGATGGTCCACCCAATTCATCCAAAAAAGCAATTAAAAAATTCAAGGATCTTCGAACTTGTACAAAACATCACAACTAAGTTACTTTCATTGCAAGGAGCATACAATTATTTGGTTCAGACTTGATGCCTAGCAGCTGGCACCCCAAAACTCTGGGAGACTATCCATTGCGATAGGCGGTTGGAGTCACGGGTAGAGACAACCAGATGATGGATTCCTCATGGACGCATTCACTGCAAACTTGACGGAAACAGTGCTGGCGGCGATTACTGGGTCCAGAACTAAAAATTTCCAATATATACCATATGGTAGATCTTGGAAATGTTTAGTTCTGGCGATCAGCACGGTCAAGAGACACTACAAGCATGTCACTTGTCAGCTACAACAACATATTCTTTCCACAACGACACCTACCTAGTACCTCTGGCTCCTGACGATCTACTGCAAGCTGATGCGAAAATGCATTACATCTATAACCGCGAACCCCGTGCTTGTCAACAGAATAGGGAAGCGCTTCATTCTTCGAAGTTGAAAAGTGTTTGGACTGCTGTTCCACGGCGCCAGAACATTCTGCATTTGTTCACCGACACGACCCGCTTCACCAAATGACTTACGATTGTTTCGTTCTCCGAATTTTCTGGTAGCAGCAACAAGAATTGCGTCCGCGACGACAGGACGAAAGTCTCTCGCAAACTAAAGTCCTGTTGCCATGAAGACAGAGAAGATTCCACAGGCCCTTTCGTCTGCTTCCAGTGTTGTAGCTCTCCGGCCCACTGGCAGATCTTTCAATCCCACCGAACACAAAAAGGATCTTCTTTCTCTAAAAACAGCTAATTTTAAAACATAATTACTTCGCGACTGTCCACGGGCCGGCCGTGTACATAGACTAGAGCATGCGGCGTGGCGCACTTTTGCAGGGCATGACATACCGGCACGTTTCGAGGACAATGGCTTCCTTTTTCACCTATGATGTACAGAAAATACCAAAAAATCCATGAGAAGCATTTTTTGAGCTGGAGTGGGGTTGTCCAATAAGTGCTAGGGGAACCCTCCTTTGCAGTTGTAGAGTGCTAAAACGTGCCCTGTTGGCCGAAAAATCCGAATTTTTTCTCCGCGGAACACCCGGACCCCGGTCAAACCACTCTCAACCGCCCTGTGACGCCCTTGTGAATATAATTAAGATAGAAGAAATCACATGGAAACGAGTTATGAACCAACTATCCACGACTGTAACAAGATAATAAGCAGTCAGAAAGTGCGATAAGAGGGCACAAAACTGACATGTTACGGAGACATCCAACAACCTGAGATCTAACCCTCACACACCTTCAGTGCGCAAACCAACAGCCTTCCAGCTTGGAAGGTTCAAGGTTTCTTACTGCTTGTTATCTTGTTACAGTCGTGGATAGTGGCTTAATAACTTGTTTCCATGCGATTTCTTCCATTTTAAATATATTTGTTGGCTCAGTGTCCAAGTGATGAATATACATGTAAAAAATGTTATGGTACGCACGTGACGCAATGATCTTGTCCCCATCCTTAGGTATCCGTATTATATGTCTCCGAAACACTTGTTTGCATAACATATGTATTTATTTTAAGTATATGAAGGTGCATGCTTTAGCACATGTAGAGCATTTCGTTCATAGCATAAGCCATTAACACGTAAGTACAATGTGCAATGAGTTTATGATAATTATGGTGTCATTCGACTACTTCTTATGTACTACTACCTCCGACAAGCGAAACTTGGCGCTTGTTTTTTTTGTTGCTTTTGTGTTGGTACCACAACATCACAAAGCTGTGTGGTACGACCTACTTGTAGCTCGATGCTACCGGGTGCAGGAAGCCAAGCGATAAGCTGGTGAGTGGCACATAGTTCAGACTTAGTCAGAGGGCGGTTTGCTAAGGCAGACCAGTCTCTCGTGTACCAGCACAACGGTGCGCGCTTCCATTCTGCATGTCAATGCAAAACCAAGGAGTTCTCTCTCTTCACCTGGTCACTCCGCCAGAACAGAGTCCAGGCGTATATGTCAACAACCTACTCAATCTGCGGACAGCATGCTGTTTCGTTCTTTGTGAACTCATCAGCGCAGCACAGAGGAAATGAGGCCGAACCTGATAGCAATGAAAATAAAAAATGTCCAATCAGGCCCGAACGTACCTTGCCAGAGTGCTCAAACTGACAAGTCAGTGAGCTGTGCGTATTGCAAACAGCAAAGGCACTACCCCACATAAGAGTGCTCAACTACTACAAGAGCAGGAGCGAAAATTCCAACAACCTAGCGTCTTTCAATAGCCTTCCGAGCGATGCGTCTCCGGTGACTAACGAAATTTGCCAGGAATTGCTGCCGGCAATTTTGGATTGTTGGCGAGAATAACCGGCGAAGAGGTTGGGAGTCCAGGCGCGTGTGGAGGTGTTGCACAATTCACGGCATTCTGGAGAGTGGCGGTGGAAATGACTACCCTCGACATCGTGGCTCGAGCACAGCACACACGCGCGACACCAAGATTTCCAGAGCGATCACGGCAGAAGAGGTACTTGCTGCAACTGAATCAACTCTTGTCGCATTTTCGTCTCACTACAGGGACAATTCCTCGCCAGAAGAAGCTGCGATCTCTGAGTCAGAGGAGAATGATTCAAACTACCGTAAGGTTGCGGATAAAAGCCGGGCTTATAAGCATATAAGCCTCTTTCTGCACCAGGCTTTAATGCAAACCAGACTTGTATGCAAACCATCCTTATATGCACCACTGATATTTTTGCCAGGCTTGTGTGCACATACAAGCCAGGCTTCTACGTGCGACACGTATAGATCTACTACTGACTACTGGTATGGCGGTAGTTTAACTATGCACTGTGCATAGCGCATGCACTCTTGACCTACCCAATCTGCGCTTGCATAGAAACCAGGCTTCTACGCGCGACAGGCTTTTATGCATTTGACCCGTTTGATTTTCAGGATCCGCGATGTGCTTGTATGCAAACCCGGCTTTTATCCGCGACTTTACGGTAACTGGTGTCTCTAATGAATTATGTCCTTGTTGAGCAATACAAAGTTAGTTGTATTTTGGCAAGTCAATCATTATTTTCGAATGTAAAGTGTGAGTTATTTCGAGTAATTTGAAGTAAAAAACGCGCTAAGTTCCGCTTGTCGGAGGTAGTACTTCTCATGAACAGTAATCCATCACTGCAGTTGTGCAATGCTTCTATGCTGTCAGTTCAGAGTGAGGACTGACAAAGAGACTTTTGCTGGAACTTCTGTCGTGCTTCTCAACTTTTTTACCATTAGTGAAATTAATGTAGTAAACAGTTTCCTCTAAGACAAAAATGCGATAATACAAATGTTTACTTTAGTCTTCTTTGTGCTGTTTTACCACCTCCTTACTGTACTTAATCCACTGTTCCTGTTCCTTTTCCTTTGCCCGAATTTCACCTGATGAGAAGAAGGCTTTGAAAGTATACTTGTGAAACCAAAAACTTTCAAGATGTTCGTAAAGAGCCTGAAGTGTGTCCTTTTTATGAGTATTATAAAATTAATATATTATATTATTAATTTGTATTGTATGTATAAGTACCAATCAAGTTTGGAAGTCCAAAATTTCAAACTCTGATGTGCTGCTTATACTTCGAATTTCCGAAAATATACGAATTTTTGGGCCCAAAATGTGGGGGTCGGCTAACATCCCGGAAATACGGTAAACAATATGCAACAGCCAACAACGAGGGAACTGAACGCTTCAGGGGTCGACCTCGGACGACTTTGGTAACGGTCTTGCAGACGGAACTGTTATCATGGCATGGACTTACCCTCCACCAGCCGCTAGATGTTGACGCAGTCCGCACAATGGCAGCGGACCGACAGGCATGGCGTGGAGCCCGCCCCACCTTACAGGACTGACCAGACATGTTGTATGCATATTCTATTTTATTCCCGTAGCTATGCAGAAGACGGTACTTCAGTAACGTCTGGCGCTAGCCAGGGTCCACACAGCTTTAATTTGGTATTTGTGTGTTTGTTTGTTTGTGTGTTTGTGTCACGCCTGGCGCTATCCCGTATCTGTCCTGTACCGTACCGTACCATCAAACACAGCTGGCCACATACAGCTGGCCGCAATATGCAAATAGGGCTTTCAAACGCAAGATCATAACGTGAAGTAACTTGGAAGAATGGGTATGAATGCGAAATGTATGGGGGAATGCATGTAGGGCGATAGTGCGGGTTCGAATCCCAGGATATACCTGAAAAAAATAGCAGTATTGAAAAATTTATAACATCCCTATGCTTTTTTGTCGTCATCAAGGCGGTACACGGTGTCGTATTACCCTCGATCGTACCTATCCCGTACCTATCCCGTACCGTACCGTACCATCAAAGACGGCTGGCCACAATGCATATTCAAATAGGGCTTTCAAATGCAAGATCATAACGTGAAGCAACTTGGAAGAATTAGTATGTATGCGAAGTGTATCGGGGGATGCATGCAGGGCGCGCGATAGTGCGGGTTTGAATCCCAGGTTATGTCTTCAAAAAAGGGATTTTTTTAAAGAATTTATAACATAAATATCCCTATGCTTTTTTAGTCTAGGTCGTCAAGGCAAAAAAAGCATAGCGTAGGGCCCGGAGCTTCCAAGCTCTCTCGTTTTATACTTTGGATGAAGTTTTCCATTAATCATATTGGTGTTGTTGCTAACGGCTTTTGTTGACGTCACTTTCATTTCATTGTATCGTATTACTCTTCAGACATCAATCCTGAATGGCATAAGCGAAAGTGGCACCCCCGCCACCTACGCGGACATGCTTTTAATAAATAATAATCATAATAATAATATGCAACAAAGTGTGGATGCTTTATATGGTTTTCTTGAACTTTCGCCTCTTGTTTCTACATTCAGTGGTATTTCTTCCAGATAATAGCGCTTTAGCTTTAGTGCGGTGTCCATCAGCACTCAGCCGAAGGCCGGAGATAGACACCCACCGGGCTAGCATCCAGCCGCCAAAGGTGGGGCCATGCATCATATGGATAGTAAATATGATTGTAGGTAAACAACAGAGAGAAACACACAACACTTTTTAAATATCAATCATAGGAACACGAGAGAGTTTGGAGGAAAATCGGACAGAAAGAACTCCACCACCCAACCCAGAGCATTACGAATCAAGGACCTTACGCAGGATAAATGCAGAGCCAAGGAGAGCATTCTTTTGCAATTCAGACGCAGAGCAGTAGCTGGTGACACCGATGGTGGAAACGGTGCCTGAAGTCCCAATTACCACAGGAACAATCTGAGTCTCAACTTGCCATAGCTGATGGATTTCGCGAGCAAGCAGTTTATACTTGGCACGTTTCTTAACTTCCTTTCCAGCAACGCGTGGATCACCAGGCCCAGCAATGTCAATGATCAGGGCATTCTTGGCAGGTCCATCAACCAGAACAATGTCAGACCGTCGGTGCGCAATGAAGCGATTGCACCAGATGGTGAAATCCCACAGAATCTTGATCTTCTGGTCCTGCGGAGAGATGTTGGAATCTGAAGTATCTCTAGCTTCAGGCTCGTTATCCTCGGGTGCAGGATGCTCTTGTACCGTTGCATTGGTCTTGGTATGCTCAAGCACTGGATTATTAATATTTATTTATTTTCTCGTATCCGTCCCGAATGGGGCTCGCGACGGCAGAATTGACTGTGAGCATGTGCGTGTGAGAATGGGAAAACGAAATGAAAAAGAAAAAGGAGAGTCTTGTAATAAACAATTTGCAAAAAAAATGCGATCATACTCATAAAATGGACACACTTCTTGTAATAAAGGTCAAATTTAAGAAGAGCAGTACTAAACTAAATGGCAGAGCAGATGTTACTCCATTGTTTTCTGGTGCGGGCATAGCTTTCAAGATTACGAAGGCAGCTGGACTTAAAAATGCAGATAGGTGTGGGGTATAGCAGATGGAAATGTCTATGGTAGCAGAGTCCTTCCTGGAAGGGTAATCAAGAATAGCGACTCTAGTGGAAGCTGAGGAAGCTGTCGAGAACTCAAGCGCCCTTCAGATCTTTGTCATAGCGCCACCGAATACTGGCAATGTGAACGTGGACAACAAAAAAGACGAGTAATCAGATGATTTTGATGGATGATAAACGTATCACGGAATCTGCTAGAGATATGGAGCTAGATAATTGTGAGACTAAGGATTGGAGAGGATGATGACGTTGGTGGCTGTTCTGTTATTGTGAGGACGACGGGGAAAAGTGTCAATCTGCAACCAGCTGGAATAACACGCTGGGTGAAATAGACTGCTGATGATGATAGCCAACCTCAAATGCAACTTGACTCATCCATTGACGATCACCCCGAGTTCGTTACGGCATCACCAGTGGATCTCTCAAAGGGTGTACACCCTGTACTTCTCTAGAAATAGTGGACGAGTCAGTACCTCACAATACCCGCGACAAGGACATTGAAGGACAACACTAGCTCGGAAACAATTGATCTTGAGAGATTCATTGGAACTCTTCTTGTCTGGCTAATGTACCAACCTCTTGCAACTAATCTGAGCGTGCCAATTATCCAAACAGTCGTGAGCCCCAAGCCGATGTCCTTCATCTAGTTTCATCCTGAGATCGCCATCTGTTTGATAAAAACCGACCCCGTGCAGTACCACCAGTGTCCAGACTTCCAGTTGATGTGCGCTAGCATGGTGTTTGACGCAACAGCATGTTGACAACACATGATCATTGCAAGTGGTGCATACAAAACAAAATGTAAACACTCCTAGTGTGGAGCTCAACTGCATTTCGATCATGGTACAAAATTGTCACGGTATAAACCAGTGACGCATCAGCAGCAAGCCACTGACATGTGAATACTGACACTCCTCGATGACCATCATATAATTGTGTTCTCCACCTCTAGTATTTCACGTTTATCTTGGTCCACTAACACATTGTAATTTGCAGCAAAGAGACCATTTGAGTTGAAGATGGTGCGTGTAAGGTTTTTCTTCCATTAACACATAGAAAATAAATAATTGATCACTTCATATCTTCCTTTCATGAAAACCAGCGTCCTTTGGGTACACAATTCGGCCAACGTTCCCCTTTGGGAACATATTAATATTTCGGTAACGCTTTGACATTATTCAGATCAAACTTAAACACATGCTCGATTGGTCTTAATCAACGAGACAACAGCCCGATCAGACCGCCTGGAACAGCTTAACTGGTCATATTCAGACACCGAGCAAAGCAGAGCTCCGAGTCGTTGCACATCAACACATCGTTCAGCGATCATCGCGGGCCAGGAACTTCAACTTTCTGTTGCTCCAATGTGAGGAAAAAACGCGCGCGATACTAGGCCTCGGCGGATAATGCTAGCATTATATTTCTTTTCCACGCATCTCCGGTCAGTTGCTGCCAGGGCAAACTCACGTCTTGGCCTCCTACGTAGAGCTGCTCACGTTCTGGACTGCCGTGGCATGCTGGCCGTGTATCACGGCTTCGTCTGGCCCATGCTCGAGTACGCTCCGCTTGTCTGGATGGGAGCTGCTCCCACCAACCTTGAACACCTTAACAGAGTGCAGAGGCGTGCCCTCCACATCCTGGGACCCAAAATCTTGCTACAGAGCCTCGAGGCCCGACGGACAGTGGCGGCGCTGACTTTCGTCTACAAGCTACTGGGCCAACCAGGTCCTCCTCTGCTGAGATACATGGTCCCTCCTCTCCTTGTCCACCGTGCCGCACCTGTAACCCGGAGACAATGTCAACAATCTGCTTCACATCCCTACCAACTGGAAAGTGTTCTCCCTCCAGGCGCTCCTAACTACCTAAGACGCGCCTTTCCATACAACATCATGAACACCTGGAACGCGCTGCCATCCTTCCTATTCACCAAATCACCATTTCCTAAGGGCCTACAATCCTTCAAAGCGAACATCCACTACCATCTTCGCCGAAGCCAGTGGCTTTGGGCCACAGACTCCCTCTAACTGTTCAGAACAATTTCCATTTTGAAGCTCCCCCCCAAGCATTTTTTTTTTTTTTTTTTTTACTATATTCACATAACCAGCTCGAAAAGAATAAGGAAAGACAATGGTACGGAGACTAGGCCAATCTGACAACTAATGAGCAGGCGCTGCACCGAGACGCAGCAGTGATGGTGGGGCATTGATGACTCTGCCGACCTGAGGTCTCGGCGTCACGGCCAAAAACACGCACCAAAAACAATGAAAAAAGAAGAAGATAGAGCTGTACAGGTAAGAAAGATGCAAAAACCCAAGGCTTAACACGAGCGATTGTGGGGGAGAAACTGTCTTAGCGTCATACTATTCATAGGGAATCGACTGCCCAGAGCCAGTTTGTGCTGCGAAGATGGCGGTAAACATTCGTTTTGAATGATTGCATTCTCTTGCTGTGGGGAGGCTGGGATAGGAGAGCGGCAGGGAGGGAGTTCCAATCGCTGATGCTGCAGTGTGGGAACGAGCGCTTCAGTGCCACCGGGGAGATGCAGGCAGCTGGTGTTGGAGCTGGTGGTCATGGCCACTGACAGCACCGTGCTCGCTGCGAGTTCTGGGGTTGGTAGAGATGATGTGGCGCGGTGGCAACACAGAGAGCAGCTGCGGAGGACCAGGCAAGTAGTGCAGCTTGTACAGGCAGGCAAGCGAGGCAACAGTGCGGCGGATGGCCAGGCTGGGTAGGTGTGCCCCAGGGCCGATAGCATGAAGCGCGCGGCGCTGAACATTGTTCAGACGCTGGAGGTGGCTCTGCGCAGCTCCCATCCATACAAGAGGCGCATACTCCATGACTGGTCGTACGAACGCCTTGTATATGGTCGTCCGGCCGGCGGGGGTGAGTATGTGGGCGGCTCTGTTTAGGACCCCAAGCCGTTGGCGTGCACGGGTGGCTACGGAGCGTAGGTGATCGCTGAAGGTCAACTTGGCGTCCACCTTCACACCAAGGAGGGTGATGGTGGTTGTCTCGGGCACCAGTGTGCCACCAAACAGGAGTGGGGGGAGATCTAAGCCGGTGCGTCTGAGGGTGGCTGTCATGGCCTGGGATTTGGTCGGTTCAAACATCACTTTCCATGTATGACCCCACTCGTGCAGTCGGTCAACGGACACCTGCAGTGACTGCGCGGCGACTGTTGGGGTCTGCTGGGAGGTGACTAAGCTGTACAAAGTTGTATCATCAGCATAGGCTTCCAAACTGGCGCCGTCAGCGAGAACATCTGGCGCGTCGTTGACGTAGGCCAGGAAAATAGTTGGTCCAAGGATGCTTCCCTGGGGGACTCCAGCGGAGGTCGTATACCTAGATGACGTCCGCCCTCCAACGAGGCACTGTAGGGAACGGGTGTCCAGGTACGAGGCCAGCCATCTCTGAAGCGGACCATCTATGCCTAGGCTACGCACCTTGTGAAGGAGGTCGACATGCGAGACACGATCAAACGCTCCTGCGATATCCACAGCTAGGATACGAGCCGCCCCCCGCATTGCATCATGTTCACTGCATCTGAACTGCCTTTGAATCTATTTTTCTCTCTTCGTGTTCTCTCTCCACCCCCCCCCCCCCCTCTCTCTCTCTCTCTCACACTCTCGCTCTCTCTCTTTCTCTATTTCATTTTCTCTCTTTCTCTCCTCAACCATTCTACCTCACCTTCCATTGTCTTTATCGCACTAAATCATCCCCTTCTTTTAGGCTATGCTGCGCAAGCTCACGTTAAAGCCGAGACCATAGGTCAGTGTTGTGGCCTTGCCTCACCAGCACAGGCTTGCTTTTCAGCCCCTACTCTCCCTGCTGTTTTGTTATTGTATACTCTGTTGTCTTCTCCCCTTCTGACGAGTAGGTTGTGTACTTAGTAAAAAAATATAGCTAGCTTATTTAACACTTTCCGGAAATTAGCACTGTGCTTGCATAATCCGGCAAGTTTTGCAGAAAACTAGCATATTCTTGTGAAAACTATCATATTCTTGCAAAATTTGGAATTTTCGTGAGAATTCACAATACCCCCACGACTACTACTGTGCCTTTGCCTGCTGATTAATAATAATTCTGTGGTTCTTGATTTTTTCTGTTTCGTAGAACATTACTTATTCTGCAATATACATGTATGCAGTTACCAATCTGCAACAGTAATCTATAGCACTATTTCCATTTTTTTCAAAGCAGAATTCAAGCATTATCAGTGCTATTTTGGAGCAGAATGCGAGCGTATTGAAAACCAGAATCCATCAAATTCTGGAGCATTATCCGCCGGGGCCTAGTCCGAGCTCCAAATGAAATCCAACATTATAACTCTTGTCAGCACAGTTGCGGCTTGACCCGGTTTCAGTAGAGGAAGCCAACACTGCTTTGAAGCGAGTGACACCTTCTGGATGAATAGTTTCTAACACTCCTCCATGACTCTAGCAATGCAGCTGTTGACGAGGGTCAGGCCGTCTTCAACTATAGTGACGGAAACTACAGGCAGAATCACGGCCACTAAAGTTTTTAAACTAAAACATATCATCAGTGTTGAAACGTCACACTTGCCAGATACAACCCCTACAACCATCTGACTCGATGGACCAAAATGTCTAGCCAGAGCCAGGAAGGAAGAGCTTGGGCCTGACACATCGTGAACTGCGCGCACATACATGTACACGTATATGCGTATGATGCGAATATAATAATTATACCGGTATTCATGCATGCATGCAAAACATCGGTCGGTCAGATTACCAGAAACCAAAGGACTTTTTCGGTGCGGCCTTAGTTGAAACGTATTTAAGCTTAAGAAGTTCAAAATCTTGTGAAATGAGATCCTAACAGATGCTTTAGTGTTGCCTACAATGTCTCTGCAGGTTGCAGCTTTTCTCTGTGGTCGCGCAAGTAGATGGCTACGGATGGGCTATCCTAGTCGTTTGATTCTTGTCATGGTACGTGCTTTTGTTACCAGTAGGTTTCTTTCTTCCACACCAAACATGTCATCAAACAGCAGTAAAATTACGATTGAGGGGGCTTTCATAAAACTCCAATAAGGCCCTTGACAGGAATGTCCCTGATTGGTCGTCTCCTAGACAACGAGACAGACCTCGTTAGGCACCGGCGGATTATGCCGGCATAATTATTGGCATAATTTGGAGGTTGAAAATTTGGAGCATAATGAGGCATCCTTTCGGAGGTAGGAGCATAACTACATGGTTGTACCGCAATTCCAGTATGTAAGCTACACAATTGCGTACAATGCACCTGATCAGTGCTGGTGAGTGGTGGTCCGTATGGTAAAGGGTTCGGAGTAGACCTTTTCCAAAGATGCTGGCCACTTTTTTCGCAACTTTCCGTTGTTTTGCAAGAAATCGCAACTTTCTTCATTTTCAAAAACTACTTCGCAACTTTTCCGAAAAGGTGTGCAGAGAAGCGCGCTGGATCGAGACCATCGACTGTGCAAGCTATGGTTATTGTTCTAACAATTTAAAAAAATGAGGTCTAGTTGATGTTCGGTCATGGTGGAAGGAGAGGTGGAGCTACGGGAGAGATGAGCTGATTTTTCGCAGGGTGAGGGTGCCATCGGTTGGACGAGCATGACGATTACGAAGACAGTTGAACATGATCATTTTCAAAGGTAACTCCAACTAATTTGGCAATGAAAAAATCTTTTTACAAAAGAAATCAACTAATGAATAGAAGGAGTCATGACTGTTTTCTCTTTCCATGTTGATCTCTAGCATGCATGGTCATCTTGGTATGGGGATATTCATGTATTTTGTTGTACTAATGGCCACTTGCAAGTACGAAAAGGCACAAGTTCCCGAACTTTGAGGCTCCATAAGTACAACAAAGTGAGTATGTATCCCTGAGTGCCAAAGCATAATAATATGAGGATTTCGCGAGCATAATGCGAGAATCCATGAAAGCATAATTCCGTGATTTCGCGAGCATAATCCGCCGGAGCCTAGACCTCGTGCTTCATGCTAATGAGACAAAAATGGTGACACCTGATCAGCCTGTTTGACCTGGTGACCCATATGGCCATACTTGAGGCAGTTCCAGCAGAGTCTCTCTCTCTCGCTGCAGAAAAAACATTTCTCCCTTCCTTTGGCAGCGAATTCAGCTGCTCTGCGTCTTTTACCGATATCTCCATGCACTACGCCGACGCAGTGGGCCTTGGCACTTATCGTTCCACTTGCTTCCTGGCAGTATCACTCTGTCGTTCGTGCGTGACCTGGAAAGACGCGCCCTGCTCCTGAACCTGACGCAGAGACATCCCGTACCACTACCGTTCAATCAGGTACGTCTTCATCTCATCCAAGATCAACTGCTTTGCCATTGGCATTGCTTGCAGCACAGGGCCATATTACCTATATCGGCGCTATACTTGGTGTCCACCTCGCTATTTCCCGTGATAGCGAGTGTGGCCCACACCTCTACCTCTCGGCAAACACGGACAACGTATTGGTGAAAAGACTCCTCTGACCGCTGCTTGCCTGTCAGAAAAGTCTTCCACGCTTTGTCTGGCGTCTTTCCGAGCGAGGCAAGCAACTCCCGCTTTGCTTCCTCTTAGTTATTGCGGCCAATACAGATCCTCTCCGCTGTGCTACCCGCTAGCGCGATAAGCAATCACAGCAGCCATTCGCTTTCTTCTAACTCGTTCTCGGAACAGATGTCCTCGAACAGGCCGAGATAATGCTCCAGTGGCTGCGTTCCATCATATGAGGGGATTTTCATCAACAGTTTACACCCAACGCTGAGACAGGGAGCTTCCGCTGTACCTCCCATTGCACTCTCTCTGGCGGCTTCACCATCACCCTCATCCGCCTTGGCGATGCGCTCGTTTATCTCCTTGACCTTTTTGTCAAACTCGGTGCGGAGCGCCTTCTCTTGCCATCTGGCACTGCGCTCCTCACGCTCCTCGCACTGTCGGAGCCTCTGCTCTACATGTTCCACCAACTTCTCGCCTTCCAATCCTAACCGAATTCCATTGGCGATAAAGATGGCTTCCGAATTACCTAGTTCCTCTGCCGTGCTCGCTTCAATCCTGGCGTGGTCGCCAAATGTTGTGAACCCTGAGGCCTCTGGTTCTCTAAAGTGCCAGGAACGAACGACCACAGGGCACGAGGACAACTATTGAATCTTAACGGTTTATTTCACTTGATCGAATATAATAACTAACACTAATATCACCAGCTATTTATAGCATGCACAAACAGCGTACATGTATATCAAAAAACATACACATAATATAACATGACATGACAGCGTATGCAGCAAGCCGCACACAGCGCATATAGCGTATGCCATGCAGCAAACATCAGCGGTACGGCGGGTTCGAGATACAACATTGCAACGAATACACTGTCACAAGCGACAAGGCCTTTCCCACTCGGGAACTGGTGGTTTGTAACAATGTCAAACCTGGCCCGTATGGAACTGCTGGTTGTTTCCGTAGCTGTTGTTGCTGCTGCTTTCGAGGCTGGCTGAGAGAATGAGCTAGATCGCTACCCGACCAATCATTCACCCTGGCCACAAGAGGTAGAAGCCAGCGGCCGCATGTAACACATTCAACAGGACCAGACTGCTCCTTCACCGGCTTTGCTCGCTCCACTGCGCACTTGTGTCGCACCATGTAGCGACATTCATGTACACACATGCATACATCCCCGCTCCCCTCCCCCCTTACAAAGGATGAAACAGTTTGTTCACAGACTGAGTACATACATACACACACAGCTTTTTCACACAGCGCTACAAAACCCACCCTCTCCTGGCATATATACCGGCATGGTCAGCACCATACTCATGTGGCCTGATGATTGGGAAAGCGACAAACAAGTTTCGATTGCCCTTGTTGGCCTGCATTACACTCTTCCTCTGCAGTGTTGAGCACTGTCAGCACACACACTGGGTGCATCCTCCGCCACATACATATACATACAGTTGAGCACCCTGGCGCTAGAGCAACGAGTTGTCTTAATGGAGAGGTTTTGTTTCACCTTGTTCTGCACAACACCGTAAAATTTCACGTCGGTGTGGCAAATTTTGGCGTCGAAACTCCCGTTCATGACGTGAGCTGAGGTCAACTCACGTTCGACGTGAACGCGAATTTTGCAAATTTAGCCTTGCTATCAGGTTGGGATTATTGACTCGATTTTGTCGATTTTGCATAAACTAGCTATAAATAATATTTTGTGCGACTTTGGCCTTTTGGCGGGAATCCCGACTGCATGCGTCGCGATGGACCATGCCGGAGATCGAAAGGAAAGGAAAGTCACTTGGCTTGGCCTCTCTGCTTTCTCAGATACAGGAGGAAGTAATTAGTTACTAGAAGTTGGCGAATTGCAGGTCTTAGTTTCAGCGTAGCTCATTCTGTCGCGATATCTGCCAGTGTGAGTCCAGTATCTTCTTTCCTCAAATCAGGAGTCCCCTGGAGCTGCTTCACGTTCAAGTGGTTCAAGTAGCTCTGGCCCAATCCGCTTCAAGACATGCCATGATGTCTTGAAGCGGATTGGGCCAGAGCTCGGCCACCTAGTCCCACGGCAGCAACAAAAACAGCTTGTTGGTGCTGATCCATCATCGGCGCGGCCTCACAACACTTCTCAACCCCTACTGAAACAAAACTTCAACCTATTTTCAAATTCTAAGCTCACCAAAAGTCACTTTTTCACTTTTTGAAATTTTCGCTCCTGTCGTCAGCAAAACAACGTGCTTCACAAGCAACATGAAACGCAAAAAATTGACGTTCACATAAGAGCACAAATTACGCGGGTCGAAACCTCTCTATTGTCTGTGGTTCCACCTTTGCACCATGCCTGGCAACTTGGCTTACTTATAGCTCGTAGCTGTACTGATGAGGCATTTATGGCCGAAACAGCTTGCTATGTACAGCGTTGGGTACATATACATACATAATATTCACAGAAGGAAAAGTAACCTTTGCAATGAAAAGCAGATTAAATCCACATTCAAGCTGTTAGCTAGGTCGTCAAAAACTCCTTGGCTATGCCCATTGATTGTCTATTGCTGTTGCACTTTCAAAATGCTGAAGTTCAAGAACCTGATGTGGGACCTTCTTCTAAGTGTCAAAGCATTTTGTTTGGTGGACAGTTTGTCATACCTCGTAACATTTTGTCCTTCCTTTCTGTTTCACCGGCTCCCTCGCAAACCCACACTTACATAGAAACAACCATTTGAGCATTGATCTATTTCCAAGACTGTATTACAAAACATGATCTCCAAACTCCATTGAAGAATCTAACCAAAAAAGAACAAAGAACGAAGAGCTGGGGACGCACGTACCCGGCCTCGTACCGGACACACAGCCAAGGAGGAATGACATCGTAGCGTCCCCACGCTTGACTGGCAAAGAAAACACCAAGCAAAGAAAACCAGCAAGCGACCGCAGTTCAAAACATTTTGAACAACACGCGCAAGCAAAACACGTGACAGAAAATAACGCATGATGTCGTCAATACACACGTATGTACACGCGGATATGCAAAAAGGTCAAAAACAAGTGCAGCAAGAAACAGCACAAATAAAATAATAATTCAAACAGCGAAGAACTAGAAAGGCAGATTTCTTATTATTGAAGAACAAGAATGTATTGTAGAGTTTCAGCGCAACTGCCGGAGGATGCTGGCACCCACCAGAAGGGTGGTTGCTGCCCCTGTCAGAGAGATAGAACGAAAACTGAAGCAGAGGAATCACGTTGCAAATAGTGAAACACACAAGGTAAGAATAATCGAGCAATGTCCAATTATGACATACTGAGTAATATACATGTTAAGTGAAGACAAACACTAACAAATGGAGAACGTTCAAACACTTTCTTCATCATTTTGTTTCCACTAAAAACGTTCTTAAAAGTGTGAAAAGAACAGTATTCCTCAGCGCATCCATTTTCCAAATTTGTACTTTTAAAAGTATATCCATTAAGAAAGTGTAATTCTAAAATATATATACTTCCTCCGCGCAACCGAAATTGTTACTTATCTTCACACAATAAAAACATGAGTGTTCTTCACTCAAGTGATAGTTTTGAACAAAGTCAAGTGGCACAATGTTAGTACTGTACCGAAGAAGCGGTCCGAGAACATATCTCAAGTGAAACTGTTCCGAGGACATTGTAACTCACCACCAAAGTTAGCTCTCTATTTCGCTGTACCAGTCATCACTTTCCGATTTTGTGCCGTCACTGTCAGGACGCTCTGCACCTTTTACTAGGGCATTGGTCAACGAACCCATCGCGCGAGGTAGGATCGGTTTTGGTTATCGCCTTTCCTGTCAGACGAAGGATGCAAAGAGAACCCTTCACAGGGATTCCAATCGCTTGATTGGACACTTGTTCCAGCAAAGCTCGATGGCGCTGATCAGCTATTTCACATTTTCCTTTCTGACGAGGTCTGCGATGGACTGCAAAGAAACGAAAAAGGCAAGATCGTTGCAATTTAGGTCCGGTGACTGCGCGGGCTGTGTCACTCAGTATTGTGATTTTGAAGCCGGCTTTCGCTCCGTGTCAAGCCCATTGTTGTTGGTTGACTTTCGCGGTGTGGGCTCTAGCTCCATTGAGCTGGCAGTACCAGGTCGTCCCCGCCTCTGGTTGCCATGAACTTCGCTTGAACCACCATACCGTATTTCCCCGTAAGTAAGTTCTCCCCAATGACTTAGTACCCCCTATAAAAAATACACTTTCCACTGCCGAGGTTATCAACCCGAAAGACAGTTCCCCCCGAAAGATAGTAAGTTCGTACCCGTCCTACATGTACAGACACCGTACAGTACATACATCATATGCACGGACACTAGAGTTGCGCAGGCTTCCCACTGCGTGTCATTTACCCCCGATGAAAAAGTACTCCCCGAAAGATAGTACCACCCCGAAAGTTAGTACTCATGTGGCTGCTAAGTTCGAAAGTTAGTACGTACTAACTTACGGGGAAATACGGTATCTTCGTTCTCATGACATCAAAAACACCGTCCATCTTGAGCAGCATTTTGCGATAGTCGGGAGCATTCACGATCATGCTCTCAATCACATCCGTTTTGCCAGCCACAGTTCCGGTGAGTAGACCTACATGTACATTCGGTCGCTGCACTGACAGTCTGTGCACTGCACCGGCCACAGCCCTACCTTGCCTTGCTTGTCGTCGCTGCACTGTGCGCTGCACCGGCCACAGCCCTACCTTGCCATCAAATTCGTACTGAACACGTTGAGTTGGAGGACGAGCACTTGCTTTCTAAGGTGTCGCTAAACCTTTCAAACAGGCGCCTACTCGCGCAACACGCTGAGTTTTCTTCGGGGTAAGCTTACCATGCCAACTGGACCTCACCATCTCGATACTGAGCGAAAAAAGCAGAGACCTGGTGCTATATTCAATGAAAATTCAGAGTGGAAGTTAGGTGACAATTGCGGTTGCGCGTAGGAAGTTGACCGCTAGGGGACGAAAATGTGTTATGGTCCCGATGCCATTGCCCTCCAAACACCCTCTCCCTCCCCTCCACCCCCCCCCCCCCCACCCCACCCCTTCATCCTACCATCCGCTCTAACCACTGAGCGATTGTGTAGCTGTGATCCAAGTCGAGACCGTTATACCATTACAGTGGTCAATTGCTGTTGTGCTTTGGTTCCCTCTTCTTACAGGAGACCATTCTCGATTGCATTAGCAATGTGTCGGTCAAGTTGTTGGATATGGAAGGCTGGGTTGGAGCATTTTCCGAATGCAGTGATGACCTTATCCGACAACTCATCAAGGTGAGAGGCTGCTGTTTTTGACCAACCGATTGCAAGTGAGGTGCATTGGCATTATCAAGAATGAAATTCTCAGGAAAAACCTCAGAATTTAGAACTGTATCAGCTGGCCTCGTGATACTCACAGACTTCTTCACAATGCTCCATTACAAGCAAACATTCAACGGAATATAATCAGTGTAGTCGTGTCACACTAAGAACGTTTCACCATTCAGCAGAAACCCGAATATTCTCCACTCTCTCCAGACTAAGAAGAAGTTTCACCATGCTAGGAAAACCATTCCTATGCTTGCACTACTTACATGTAGTCTTTTTTACGACTTCCTGATGCGAGTCCGCCTGACCTCTATCGGTATCGCTAAGCAAGTCTGCGGTAAAAATATGTTCTTAGTCCGCGGATGTCATTTTCATTTGGTCTGTGCGTTAATCAATAGTAGTACAGTCGTCCCTCTTCAATCCAGTACCTTATAATCCAGCACCCTCTATAAACCAGCATGCCGTACTTGCGCGATAAGTGCCCTTGGGGCACTATTTTTTTTCAATGTCCATCACAGATGGGGCACTATTCAAGAGAGGGCACTATTTTTCAAATGCTTGTACATTCACGTCATCCAGAGTGAAACAAAGAAGACAAAGAAGAACAGAGCCAACTATTACGACTCAACAGAAAGGGCAACAAGAACTGCGATTTTGATCCTGAAAACATCAGTGCATGACCGGGACAAGAACATCAGTAAAAGAAGATCGAACTTGCACATGCTCTTAGTACAAGCCCGGGGGGGGGGGGCACTATTCAAGAGAGGGCTATATTTGTTCACTGGCTCTTAGAGACTGGGGCACTATTCGAGATAGGGCACTGTTCAAGAGAGGGCTCTAATCTCGCGAGTACGGTAATTATCAGCAACTAAAATGTCCTTTTCATGCACATCGCGGCAGTGATTGAGATTTTTAATCCAACAACCTCCCTTATCCAGCAGAATCTCCATAGCAAAAATAGTGCCGAATTATAAAGGACCACTGGATACAGTGCTTGGAGAAGTTCTCTCATCAGCTGAAGTTGAGCAGGTTGAGGAAGATTATTCCTGGAGAGCACCACTAACAAAGAGTTCACCAGGCCAGAACATCACCAGGCATACAAACTTTCAGAGACACTCCATTTCAAGTGCGACAAACACCTCGAGAACACTAGATAGCAGCATGAGTCAGTGTCCTTCATGGAGGTGTACAACAAGTGGTGAGGACAGATCGTCATTTGCAGTATTGCCATTTCCAAACCAGCAAATCACCAGTCCGCGCTGAGAATAACAGTCCGAAAAAGTGGAAATGGCCTATGAGGAAATTATACTTGTAAGACAGTTGGTTGCTCGCAACGTTCGAGCTTGTGCTTTTCCAACATACTTGATCTGTAAATTGACTGGCTTACGCTGCTATCAGGAGCACACAAGAACTCAATCAAACCATCGCCTCGAAAAATCTTCATGGAAGCACCACTTGTGCTCTACAGGCAAAAGCACTACAACGAATACCAATTTTCTGAGACATTCTCTTTTCAGCATGACATCCACCTATTTATGGTGTTGGGCAAAGTCAGTGGGAAAAGAACAAGCTTAAACGTTGCAAACTCTGACATAATTATCGCTGGTTTTCTTCCACAAATCGAAAGTTTGCTTCATGCCGCGAAAGGATCAAGGGTGCTGATTAGAGGAGAAGCGGTTAAGGTGGCTCACACCCTCTGCGCGCGCATCGTTTGAAAAGTGTAGATTTTCAGTAAAATTTTCGGTAGCGATGATTCTTGTGCGATCAATCGTTGCAGGAAACGTCTTCTCGCTTTTCTGCAATTCTGGCGACCTAGCTAGAACCTGCTGCTAGTGTCCCTCTTCACTCGTTCTTTCTATGAAAGGGGAAGGCAGCACTCGCAGAAGATTTTCCAAGAATGCAATGTCGACTGGTGCTCGTAATAAGAAGGGAGAAATCAAAGTCCGCTCTTGAATCACGCCTGAGTCTTAGAAAATTATTTCAGAATACGCTTGTGTAGATTTCCTGCCAGTGCCACTGACATCTCGCGACCTTCAAATATAACTTGCTCGATCATCTCCCGCACTGACTGGTAAATTCGTCGGGTAGCTGTGGATGGATCGATTCAGGGAGGTCGAAGGTAAATACATCGAAGCACTTCAAACACGTTTCAAGACGCACTTCAAATTTTGTAATTGTGTCTTGAAAATTGTTTACAGCAATTCGTACTTCAATACGCTGTTGAATTGTATCCTCTGCTTGGGAGTCTCGACTGTTTTATTGCTGCATGGCTTTCCTCAACACCGTTCACTGTACATGCATCGCGGAACGCAGATTGGATGGCATTGGAGGTGAATTTGATAATTTGTGACTGTGTCATCAACCAATTGAGGACATCAAATATCAACAGGGACGTTCCGAAAATCACAAACGCTGCGAAATAGGTATGAAATGGTCTTACACACTGGTGGGTATTCCACATTCATTGTGTCATATCTTTAGACTGTTCGAAAGTTTGTCGTGCCGTGCAACTTTCACAGACTAATCCGATAATTGGCATGTGGCCCTATCGGCACACACTCATGCGTATGCCGCTGAGTCTATCTATATGTGCACGCACATGTGTGTATACTTACACAATTTTATTACGTGTGCAAAATTAGGCAATCTACATGTACATATATATATATATATGTGTGTGTGTGCACTCACTCCTATGACATAGAACGACAGTGCAGGCTATGTAGAGTCGCACGAATGTGTGTTACCCGGGTGTGTATATGCATGCGCACTCGCGCGGGCGTTTTGTGTGCGCGCCTGGCATGGCATAACGCCGTTCAATATGACTAGTGTTGAACCGTGGTAATTTGCCCCACCCCTTCTTTTTTCTATTGGCGTTGGATATGCAACTAATGACATAAACTCGGTTGTTGAAAACGAGTGCCATGCACCACAATGGATTGGCAATAATATAATACAAGTAGCGCTGTAAAAGCGCTGGTAATACTCATGTTGCAGCCATGGCAGTTGTGATTAGCTTTCCAAGTCAAGCCTGCTGCAGAAATTATTGCACTCTGACCAGCTGGAGTGGCCCAGGACTGCAGGTTGTGGAGAACAGGAGCGATGCTTGTATATACGCTTGTATTTACATGATGGACTTCGAAGTAACGATAGGTGTATTACTTGTATGTTCTTCTGCCTGTGCACGTGTACATGTGCTGGTCAGTGTGGAACCGCCATCCATATCAGATCATACAGCTCAGCTGCTATCAGTCTCAACAGCTTATATCTGGCAAATAGGGTTTTAGTGACTCAATTTTGCTTACTGTGTTCAACAGAGTGGCATTGCACACAGCTACTTTATGTAATAGTAGCATCTTGGAAATTTTATATTTTTGGTAGTTAGCTTCAGTAGAAACTTCTCCAGTGTGGCTCTTAGCTTCATTACACAAGTCCAGTCTGTGTGCAAGCGTGCGAGTGCGTCCTTAGGTATGCTACAACCCCACTGCCAACACTTGAATGATAACTGCAGAAAATTGTTCTTTAAGTCGTACATTTTGCCTATATTTGACTATTGCGATATAGCTTGGTGCGGGTTGTCTCAGACTTTACTCCACAGACTGGAGGTACATCAACGCTTGCTTCTGAAAATTCTGTTTCGAAAAGACCAAACATTTGCCTCCCTTTGTCTTTATAAACTTGCTTCCACGCACCCTCTTCTTGCCCGACATCAGCAGCATCTTTGTATCCTTGTGCAAAAAATCTTCCTAGCCCAAGTCCCGAAACATATTGCCAAGTACAACTGGTTTGTTACCACTAGACCAATACGCAATGCCTTATCACTGCCCCGAGCTAGTTCCTCTCTGTTTTTGAAATCCCCTTTCTTCTCAGCATACTCCCTTTGGTCTAACCTGCCTACTAGCATTAAGACATGCCAGGATATCAGGAAATTCACAGTCCAGCTTTCCACACTGTCTCATCCGAAGTGATCCCATGTATTATTAATGTGCCTCCCTTTCTTTTTCTCTCCCTATCTCCTTTCCCTCTCTGACAGCATCTTTCTTTTTTTTCCCTTTTAGCTTGCCGTGGTTGGCTATCACCTGACCTCTCATGTTTATTGGCAGTCTTCGGACGGGCCAGGAGATGTTGAATAAATAAATAAATAAATTACCATGGAGACTAAGCATTCAAGTAATGCACGAAGAACAGTGGCTAGATGCGAAGTGAAAAGCCATTGGACCGTACCCAATGGAATACGCATTTAGTATAGCAGTATTGCTTGCTATGTTGGCAGCAAACACTTTATAATAATAATTGCATTACCAGTAGAAAGTGCCCAATGTGCATTGCTTCAGCACTGTGTTTTGGACAAAGCAGTCAAAAAATTCCACATCAGTATTGGCTTCATGTTGGAGAAAGTTGTGAAAAACACTAGAGCATACATGTACACTCAATACACATGCTCAGCTACATGTATGGCATTTAGTATGTGGGCGACTTCAAAGTTCTATTTTGGTAGTTAGCTTCGGTAGAAATTGTCTAAACTTGATCCAAAGCTCTACTACTATGTTCTGAAGATGTTGCAATCAAGTAATGTAAGACACGTATCTGCCGCATTGGAGCTAGTTGTGAAAACCTTTAGACCATACACACAATGCACATGCTCAGCTATGGCATTTAGTATGCGGGCGACTTCAAAGTTCTATTTCGGTAGTTAGCTTCGGTGGAAACTGCTAAAACTTGATCCAAAGCTCTACTACTATGTTCTGAAGATGTTGCAATCAAGTAATGTAAGACACGTATCTGCCGCATTGGAGCTAGTTGTGAAAACCTTTAGACCATACACACAATGCACATGCTCAGCTATGGCATTTAGTATGTGGGCGACTTCAAAGTTCTATTTCGGTAGTTAGCTTCGGTGGAAACTGCTAAAACTTGATCCAAAGCTCTACTACTATGTTCGGAAGATGTTGCAATCAAGTAATGTAAGACACGTATCTGCCGCATTGGAGCTAGTTGTGAAAACCTTTAGACCATACACTCAATGCACATGCTCAGCTATTGCCGCATGATTTAGTATGTGGGCGACTTCAAAGTTTTATTTTGGTAGTTAGCTTCGGTGGAAACTGCTAAAACTTGATCCAAAGCTCTACTACTATGTTTGGAAGATGTTGCAATCAATTATTGCAAGACACGTATCTGTCATATGGTGGAGTCAGGGGTTCTAAGGCGTTGGACAATGTCCCAGTGCAATGTGCTGATTCTTGAAAATATGGCATCACTTGACACTTCAAAGTTTTATTTCAAGAGTTACCTTCGGTAGAACCTGCTCAAACTTGCTACACAGTACCATTATTAGGTTATGATAGCATAACCATCGAATACACGGCAAGTCCAGTGTCAAATACTTGTGGGCGGGGCTAATATGTGGGACGTGTGCGCTGAAATGGGATGATTCCGAAAAGAGAAAAAGGTCACCTTCTAGCAGAATTCTACCCACTTCTAAAGCTTATGCTGGTATTTAGCAAGTATACTACTGTCCTGATGTTGGACATCAAGAAAAATGGGGTAACTACGAGTGCTACGGCCAAAAATGTGGTTTTCCGGTGTTTTTTGGCCTAAATTGGCAATTGTGAGTATGTTATGTTTGGCCCCTCCCCCGAGTGAAACCGGCCGGTAGAACTTGATAAAATTTTGTCTCCGTACACTAGATATCCTACGGAACAAAGTACAATCGTTTGTAGCCACGTTTCAAACAAAAAAAATTTGGACCCGAGGGGTAGGAGCCACCTTAACTATACAATACACTGGTGCAAGATGTGCGTACTCAAATAACTCACACATGTCACAAACTAACACAAATGGAACACTGTAGAATGGAGGCGTTATGAACCTTACCGTACCTACACATCTGAAATGCTAAGTTAATCACAAGGAGGAATAGAGGTACATAAATAGGTTGCATTATGGACTTGCCTTTGGTAGCTTTAGGGTTAGTTGTATCACATTATTAGTGCTGTTAACCATAGTTTCTTGCTGTACTGGATGTCCAAGTTGGAAGGCTGTTGGAGTGTGCATCCAAGATGTGCTAGACCTGTTAGCCAGTTAGTTGTAGAACGTCAGTACCGTCGGTCAGTGTCATGCAATGTTATCGCATGAGCTGATTGCTTAGTAACTGGTGGTGTTAGTGGACATTATAGTGTAACTTGTAGTTCCTTGGTCCTTTTTACTTTCTATCAAAAAATCCTTGGCTCTCCATCCGAGTTCATTCTTGTATTGGATGTGAATTTTCGTTTCAGGATCTCCTCTTTTGTCCATATGTTTCATGCTGTGAATCAACACAACAACGTGGCCTCCTGATTTAAATTAACAAACTCCCAGGCCCGTCTCCATGTTTCAGCTACACTGGTTGATTACAATCAAAATGTCAAGGCTCTTTGTCGTTTGTATCAATCGAATACCGTTATCAAAAATGCCATGTTTAGGATAGGCACTGTCCTTCACCCAAGCAGTGCCATTTGTTTGACTCTGACTTTTAAATACTACCTACGACAAGCGAAACTTGGCGGGTTTTTTACTTCAAATTACTCGAAATAACTCACACTTTACAATCAAGACTAATGATTGACTCACCAAACTACAACTTTGTATTGCTCAACAAGGACATTAGAGACATCAGTTAGGCTGAACAACTCTCCTCTGATTCAGAGATCGCAGTTTCTTCTGGAGAGGAATTGTCCCTGTTTTGAGACGAAAGCGCGACTAGAGCGGATTCAGTTGCCGCAAGTATCTCTGTTGTGATCGCTCTGGAAATCTCGATGTCGCTCCTGTGCTTGAGCCACGGTGTCGACCCTCGGTGTCGAGGGTCGTCATTTCCGCCGCCACTATCCAGGTTGACGTGGTAAGAACTGTGCAACACCTCCACACGCGCCTGGACTGCAACATTTTTGCCGGGTATTCTCGCCAACTGTCCAAAATTTCAGGCAGCAATTCCTGGCTCTTTTCCTTAGCCACCAGAGACGCATGGCTCTGAAGGCTATTGAAAGACGCTAGGATTATTTGGCATGGACGTATGGACTCTGTGCTGGCTGAGTGATCAAGTGAAGAGAGAGAGAATTCCTTGGTTTTGCATTGAAACGCGAAATCACGACGATTCTCCTTCGCAGAATGGACGCGCGGCGCGCGCGCACTGTTGTGCTGGTACACGAGAGGCTGGCCTGCTTCTGACTAGTCGAGCCATGTGCCACTCACTAGCTCGTCGCATGGCTTCCTGCACCCAGTTGCATGGAGAGTACAATTCCACAAGTAGGTCGTATACGCGTACTTCACACACACAGCCTTGTGAAGTAATTTGTGGTACAAACACAAAAAAAATCAAAAAAACGCGCCAAGTTTCGCTTGTCGGAGGTAGTACGTCATTGCTTTAATAATATTAATAGTTACAATTCGCATGTCACTCATGGAAGGATCCATGGGCTTAAAAGGGAAGTTAAGGCAAAAATTTAAATTTCACCAGTTGTAGTCTTCGGGGTGCTGAGTCGAATGGTCTTGGTCCGAAAAGGCTGAGACGCTCCCTTCCTACTTGAATCCCAATCGAACTCGAGCACTTCCACCTAAACTGGGTGACTGCGCCCTACTAGTCTTTTGGACGCTGAGTCGACTGGTTTTGGTTCGAAAAGGCTGCGATGCAGCGTTCCTCCTTTACTCCCAATCGAACATGATTGAACAAGCGGTCATGTGCTCCTGCGTACACCAGTCACCTGGTCACCGTGCCTGCAGGGTACAACTTACTAGGCTGTTTGACCTTTTTTGGGTGCACTCCTGTCACTCGAGTTGAACTCGAGTTGAACCTTGGTGTGAAAGTTGTCGCCTGCTGGCGTGGTGACCAGGTGATTTGGGCACCCAGGAGCACGTGACCACTTGTTCAACCATGTTCGATTGGGAATAAAGGAGGAACGCTGCATCACAGCCTTTTCGGACCAAAACCAGTCGACTCAGCGTCCAAAAGATTACAACATATGGGCCAATCGCGGTCATCCGTGCTTTTATAAGAATGAAATGACGCTTTTAGTGACATTTTGCATACAAATCCCCATCTAGTAGGGCGCAGTCACCCAGTTTCGGTGGAAGTGCGCGAGTTCGATTGGGATTCAAGTAGGAAGGGAGCGTCTCAGCTTTCTCGGACCAAGACCATTCGACTCAGCACCCCGAAGACTACAACTGGTGAAATTTTAATTTTTGCCTTACTTCCCCTTTAATGCATCTGTGACGTCATTGCTTTGACTACAGTATTTTCCCTTTTCCATTCCCTCGACTGCTGAATACTTTGACTGTTGCCTCAGAATTTCTGTCTCATGTCTGGTCACCATTACAGCCCATTCTCTCATTGTCTGCTTATTGTCACAGATGGCGGTTCAACAGCACAAGCTTCGTCCAACAGTAGTAGTAAGCCTCATTATTATGTTGCAAAGGAAAAAATGCAACTTAGAGTCTGTTGACGAACTTTTACATCAAAACATTGCAGCACCCCACCACTCTGCACTGAACAACCACATCCCTGTCATTATGCGACTTTACTATTGATGCTGCTCTGGGGCCAATAGCTACATTCCCAACCAAAAATATGCTTCCCACCCACTGGCGCCAGCACCGATGAGCATATTTTGTGATTCGTTTACTGGTGTTGGTTTTATGTGCATGTACATGTAGCTGGACGTTACAGATCTGGTGCTTGGGTCATTCCCTTCCGCCAAACGAATATCCGTGCGTGTACAACACGCTGTGCTTCACTGCCTTGTACTACTCTGTGTAGAGGGTTTGCTCTTTCCGTAGTTTCCAGTTTGCCTTTCTGAGTCTGCTGGAGCTTTGTTAAGATTCAAACACGTACCAGTACCAATTTGATTTCAACTAGTTCCAATATCGCCATTGGTGAGTGATGCAGCCACTGGGCTGGGGTCTGTGTCTCAATTTGAAGTTGTGACATGCTGAACTCCACTTGTGCCATGTCATGCTACACAAGAGTACGCCGTAGGTCTGGTATGGGGGACTCCGGTATGTTTCTCATTGAGCAGGTTAGAGGTGTAACATACTGCTGTTGTCGAGTCGCACCCTCTTTGAGTTGGATAACTTTCGCTGTGAGCTCATCAATTGTTGTCTTCATGTATGTCATTTCTTGATCCTTATTCGGTTCTCTCAGAAGCCACTTCGGCAGTTAGAGTGGAAAGTGTAGTGGACAGATTATTTATTATACTTTTGAGAGCATCCATGCCTGGACAGCCATGGAGTGGCAAATGTGTTCTATTTTCGAAGTTTCAACAAGGTCCGGGCGGGGTAATGAGCTCCATTTCTCAATTGACAGTTTGCTACGCCAGCTTGTGGAGTGGTAATTGCAAGAGCAGTGTCAGGTCCATGTTCTGGTTTAGGGCCATCTTCAAACTGTTAGATACTGATTGGGCCAAAACTACAGGAAAAGAAAGTCTTACAGTCAATTTCAAAAATATAGACGCATGGTATTTTTGAAATATTTCAAATTTGCCTGGAGCTTTTCGAGAATTTCTTTCGAATATTGCTCAGGTCCTTCCCCCAGTTACTCTCTTATAGATTTTTAAGCGATAGGATATCAAACACCCAATTTCAAAATTGTTATGCACAAAGTGATCACAGATTTTATGTGGTATAGATGCTGGCCTAACGGTTTTTTCTAATCAAGCATCTACTTAAAGTATATTTTTGAAACTTACTGTAGAGGCGGAGCTTCGAGAGTGAGGGGCCAGATGCTCCTGAGTGCTAAAAATGGAATCAATTGTAAAGTTTTTTTCTCCTTGAGAAAAGGAGGGTGAGTGAATGGTGACTGAAAAAATTAATTTATAGAAAAGAAAAAGGACCAAGGAACTACAAGTAACGCTATAATGTCCACTAACACCACCAGTTACTAAACGATCAGCTCATGCTATAACATTGCACGACACTGACCGACGGTACTGACGTTCTACAACTAACTGGCTAACAGTTCTAGCACATCTTGGATGCGCATTCCAACTGCCTTCCAACTTGGACGGTTCTAAGTTATAGAAATAACATAAGGAGGGGAAGGTTTTAGTGGACATTATAGCGTTACTTGCAGTTCCTTGGTCCTTTTTCTTTTCTATAAATTAATCCTTGGCTCTCCATCCGAAATATTTAATACTAATCCTTTTTGTGAAAAAGGAGAAGGACAAAATGTTACGAGTTAATTGAATTGGCTCACCATCCGAGTTGAATCCTTTTTGTTTTGAGAAAAAGAAAACAATTGATAACCCCGATCACTGGGAAACTGTTGGCTTTTATAGTGTGCTATTTTCCTTGGTTGACGGGATATGTCCATGGCCATGGGATGCTCATAATCTAACGCTCTTTGAAGCATGGAGGAGCAATAAATTCCATACTCAAGTTATTCGCTAGCAATTATGGACAACCGCTGGTGGGACGCACATGCCAACCGTATGCTTGCATTTGTGTATCTGTGTTATTGCATGGGTATGTGGATGCGTCGTATCCTATGTTTCAGCAAATACTGGTCAAACGACGTATGGAGAACTGCAAACGCAAGACACATCTAGTGGTGCGTCTGCTTGGCCCCCCAGGCAGTGGAAAAACGTCACTACTCAAGTCGTTGCACAAGCGTCACACGTTCTTCGACAAGCTGGTCAACTTCTTTTTGCGTGATCGGGGGGACCGAATCGATAGTGCACGAACCCGCGGAATCGAGCGCTTTTACCACGAAGGCATCGTTTTTCTCGATCTAGGTGGCCAATACCGATATATGAGTAATCACCAACGGCTGACAAAGTTTTCCACCGTCCCAGCAGTGAATATCATCACTGTTTCCAGCGTGGAGACGAAGGTATGTGTACGTCATTCGGCTCGCCAGTGGTGTAACTTCATAGCATGCAGCTGTGAAGATGGTGAGGAGAAAGGCAATGGGGAAGGAGGGAGCGACAAGACAGCCAACAAGGTGCTCATGGTAGCTTCCCGGCGAGACAAAGCCAGAGAATCGCAGCGTGATGTAGTCAGCGCCGAATGTGAGCTTCTGAAGGATACAATGGGCGATCATCTTCAGTTCATGGACCAGCCTGTGATCCTTGTCAATGGTGTTGACGAGAATTGCGATGGTGTGGCAAAGGTGCGAGACATCATCGAGGAAATGAAGAGAGAGGTGAAGGTGAGAACTGTATTGTTTTAAAGGATTTATTACACTCTGAAGGCACTGGTCCAAGTGGAACACTTTGTTTGTAATGTAGCATTCTCTCTGAAAGTAATCCGAAGATCAACAAACTCCTGGGCAACATTAACAATATTCCCATAATGCAATGAATAACGCTATATGCGCACTCACATCACAACCATAGCTACGACTAAAGTGTTCCACAAGGTTTTCTTGCATGGAATTCGTGACTAAAAGGAACGGTGAAACTACAATAGGATTTATACACTTGGAGTGAAAAAACGAGGAAACTAGAATAGTTTATAGGAAAGAAAAAGGACCAAGGAACTACAAGTCACGCTGTAATGTCCACTAACACCACCAGTTACTAAACAATCAGCTCATGCGATAACATTGCACTACACTGACCGACGATACTGACGTTCTACAACTAACTGGCTAGCAACTCTAGCACATCTTGATGCGCACTCCAACAGCCTGCTTATTGTTTAGTAACTGGTGGTGTTAGTGGACATTATAGCGTGACTTGTAGTTCCTTGGTCCTTTTCCTTTCTCATAAAAATTAATTTATCCTTGGCTCTCCATCCGTGTCCAAACTGGAATAATTTTAACTTAATGGGGCAATAAAGAGGACGAGCTGAAAATAATGACATTTGGATCACTTCATTAAACAAAGCGATGGAGACGATGCAAAACAATCTAAAAGGTAAGGAGAAATATATGTAAGGAAATGAAGCGATGGAAAAAAGGTGATTCGAACAAGTTTTCGTATAGCACTCTTCAGGAATCAACGTTGTACTAAAGAACAAAATAGGAACAAAGGAAATAATAATAAGGTAGGGTAGCAGGATGCAATGACAGCACTAAACTTCTCTCAAAAAGTGTGCAGAAAACAAAATCATTTATGTCACTTATGCTCCTCCTCCTTATTGCCATAATATATTAATATTTTTGTCTCCTTGTCGAGTATTTAGATACTAGAATAGTAAGAAAAATAGCACAAACTTCGTAAAAATGCACTGGTAATAAAACTATGCAGGTGAGAAATGATAGGAAATTCAGCAAGTGCAGTGTCACAATGTACATGCATGTGCAAGTGTGTGTGATTGCGAAGTGAATCTCGAAGTGAAGTCCCAGTGTATAAATCCTTTTGTAGTTTCATCATTCCTTTCAGTCACAAATTCCATTGATAATTGTGACAAGAAAACGTTCTGAAACACTTTACTCGTTGCTACGATCGTGATATAAGTGCGCATGTAGTTTTATTCATTGCATTATTTTTAAAAATATTGTCTCCACGTCGCCTTTTTAAATATTCCCATAATAGGCCATTCCCACGATGTGTAAACACTTGCACGTGTGTGACCAAGATGACACTGGCAAACCGTGATCCAGTTCACACGGTGATGGGCAAAATTGGCAACATCAATGTATCCATAGTGACCTGAAAATGCCGGGAAATGTTCAATTTTGAATTTTCCCTCGTTCAAGCACTGCATTTGCAGTACGCACTTTCAACAACCGACACTTTTCCTGGCGTGCAAAGATAATCGCGAGCAAAAGGGCCTTGGCCATGATAAAAAATCAGTTGCACGTGTGTGTCCAAGTTTACTGTATCCGAGTAAATATCCTTGGAAACGGTACGATAAAAGTAAGTTTGTCCGTTGTGTGAATGGCCTATAAGGTATACTAATGTCCTAAGAGTGCTGCACCATTTTGCACTAACGGCACCCATTCCGGTTGCTGTGGCACACAACATTAATTACACTACCAGTTATATGATTTGGGGAATTATTTGCGCATGGCTCTACTGCTGTTACTGTCTATCCGTCTCTTAGGATTTCATTTAGGGCTTGTTGATTTTTTTGTTATTAAATTGTGCCAATTTGTGCATTCTGTTTTGACATGCTGTGACTTGCAACAGGAACCAGATACTCCCATGTCCGCAGTCGAGTACTTCCTTGAAGATATCCGCCTTAAGTTCAAGGATACACCTGCTGTCAGCCTGGAGGAATTCACTACGGTGCTGGCCAATCTCATCTTAGGTGAAAAGTTTGAAGCAGAAGATTGGAAACTGGTGAAAAGAATGGTAGCCATTGCGGTCGACCTGGAGCAAGATCTCCATGATCTACACCAGAAAGCCGAGGTAAATGTGTGCGTGTGCACATATGTAGTATGTATGTGTGCGTATTTGTGCGTGCTTGCACACACGCACTCATGTATTGTATTGTATGCAGGTTTCTAATAACCAATGAGGAGACAACAGTCGTAAAAGAGCAATGAATATAACTAATTGTGCTCGCATAACCACCGCGAGCTGCTACATTCTTCCGCTCCTTGTCATATTATTCCAGCTACGTAACTGCATGTTTTAGTCAGTCATTTTAATAATAATAATTGTTTCACACAAGTCATGGTTATGAGTGCATAATTAGTTTTATTCATTGCTATTCAGGTTTCTAGCAGGTGAAAATAGTACGGGGGGGGGGGGGGCTGAGGAAACACCCTGTAACCCATTTTTTCCAATTTCCAAAATAGACTTGTCACCCAAAATGCAACGTACCCCGACTTCACACCAGATACGTGTGCCTTTATGAACCGGCTGATACTATCGTCCACATTTTTCGTTGAATGGCCAGCAAACACACCAAAATGGACGAATGAATAAGGGGCGCCACTTCTTCACAGGGAGGCAGGCGGTCAATAAGAGAAGAGGGGCGCTGTGCCCTCCTACCCTCCTTTGGGTAGAACCCTCGCATGGTATTGTATTTTATAATTTTTTCTTGGGCATTCCGAACAGGCCCTGAGGTCTTCGTACAGGATGCCCAAGATGAATAAATGTGCGAAGTTCCTGGCAAAATGAATTGGGGATATGAGTAGTGCGAAGGGTAGGGTAGGCATTTCCCAAATCGGCCCGATTTTTTCGCCTAACCGGCTTTTCGATCGGCTGAGGGAAATGTCACTTCTCTGTGGTTGACGTCACAGTATAAGAATTAGCAGAGAAGCAGTGTTCTCTGTCCACCAGGGAACGGGTACGAGGGAGCACGGTGTGGGATAAAAGGAGGTGCCCAGTGCAGGGTCGGCCTCTTTTGTCTTTGTGCGGAGAGTTGAGTGAGAGTGCCCCCCACCCCTCCCCCACCCACCCCAGTAATCATCATGTAATTTCATATATCATCGCTTTGATTATTCTAGTGATTTGATTATTCTAGAGTGTGCGGATGCATAATGGCCTGGCGTGGTTTTCTGGTTGTACATAGCTGGAGTTTTTGTTAGACTAGGCAATGGTTGTGTATAGTCATGACCACGGAATTGTGTGCAAAGACAATAAGTTGGGGCGCTGTGCTGTGGTGGCCCCCACTGGCAATGTTCACGTGTTCAATAGTGGTGTACACGTATGAGTGAGTGTGCGGATGTGTGCGCAACGAGTGAGTGCAGGGTGGACAGAGAATGTCCGAATTCGGCCATATTATATAAGCCCCAAAGTCAGAATTCGGCTCAAAGTAGTACTTGAAGTTACTTATCGCAGTATACACATACATGTACATGTACATGCACATGCACGATATAGAGGTACTGAAACATCAATTTTTGGCGATTTCACCGCGAAATTTTGTAAACTTGGTGCAATTATCGGGAATTTCTTGATAGCCATTGATTTCGGGTCCTTTTCCTGCTGACCGATCTCGGAAATGCCTTAAGTCGCAGTCACTTTTCGCAGATAATGGTTACAGAAATTGTATTTGCATGCTGTAAAGGCACTAAAAGATCGATTTTTGGCGTATTCAGTCCGAAAATTGCATATCCGGCGGAAATATCGGTGATTTCTTCAAAGCCACTGTTTTCGGCGAATGTTTCGGCCGGCCGATTTGGGAAATGCCTAGCGAAGGATTCGGGGAGCGCGTTAAAGCGGTGAGCACCAAGGAATGAAAATAGATTTGAATCCAGCTCGAGTGTGCACATCGGGTAAAGAAAGGAAAATATTAGCTTGGCCTCTGGTATGTTTCTAAAATAAACATTTTTAAAAAGAGTATTCACTGGTTTGAGGGAAAGACGCAAACAGGAAAAGTCTGGAGAAAAAATTGACTGTCACCACCAGGACTCGAACGAAAAGAGTGCTAGTGTTTGTTCCTGTGTAAGCGAACTCTACTTGCAGACATTGAGACATTTTGAGACATTTTCGGGAGCTTGGTACCTATATAGTTGCACTGTTGGTTTCCTGTTGTGTGGCTGAGCTATCTACAACTGGTGTATGTGATTGATTCTCTAGCTTGACAATTGCTGGTGTGTCATCATCTCGAGAATCAGTCCCTTACTTTTAAATGTTGAGACTAAACCCATGCATTTCACAAAACACTTCAGCTAGCGATCCATTGTTGGGCCCAGTTTCTTTGTGACCAAAATAAACTGAAGGTATTCACAAGGTGAGAGCTGCAATGTATGTGAGCATGTGCGTGCAGCAGCATGTGTCGTGAGGGTGCCGTGTGTACAGCATCAGCAGGAATACTAATTTAGGTGGTACGTTTTCTGCTGCCCACATGTCAAGTGGGTAGCAGAAAACGTACCACGTAGCAATATGCACAGTGCAGCGAGTGCAACAATGGACAGGAAAAATTATATTAATGCAAAGCACATTATATAGGTCACATAATCTGTGGAGGGTTCAAGTGTGTGTGTGTGCTAAGCAAAATATGCGTGAGTTTATAAAAAATAAGAATAAAAATTCGACGGGTTCGCGTACCGGGCAGGTCAAGAAAAAGGAGTCGTACAACTCCCTGGTCAAGAACCACCTTTCCGCTTCAGTGGGACGCCACCACCCCATGATCAGGCGTCAGATGCGGCTCCTAAACGGTGGGGGAGGATAGATCAGATCCACCAACCATAGGCCAAAAGCCTAAATCCCATTTGCCACATCCATGTTTTACTCATGCCAGGCCACGAGTTCCCAATTAACTGTGGGTCGCAGCACGGTTGGAAAGAATCCTTCCGCTTCCAAGCAGGACTTGAACCTGGTACCTCTCGTTTCTCAATCATGGTCTTAGACCAACCCACTGTGCCTGCCTGCAGGTTTATAAGGTGAACAGAATGAAACGTGTACCTACAAAGAAGTGACAGATGAATTTGTGGCTCCGAATAGATCAGATGGCATTCACAACAGTCGATGTATGTTTTCCTGGTTATCTGTTTTCTTTGTTTCTGTGTCTGTCACTCTATCTGTCTGTCTGTCTTTCTGTCTGTCTCTCTGTCTCTCTGTCTTCGTGTGTCTCGGTGTGCATGTGTGTGTATGTATGTATGTGTGCGTATGTGTGTATGAGTGTGTGTGTGAGTGTCTGTGTGTGTCCCATATGGTGCAGTGGTATGTGCAGCGATTTCCAATCGATCGGTTGCGGGTTCGATTCCCGACGATTATGGTCACACACGTCTTTCTTCTCTTTCTCAGACTCTTACTGACTTTTCTTTCATTCTCCTGGGTGGTTACCAACAGCCAGTGCATGCCGGAGTATGTGGTGTGATGTGTGTGCGGGGAAAATAAAAAAGACCAAAAAGTAGGGATTCACTGGCCAGAAAAAGCCACTTCATAGCTGTATGGTGTAGACCAGGCTGAATAGTGGCGGTCAATTCTTCAGCCTTGCAACCTGTTGAATGGTGCAATCCCAGCACAAGCTGCTATGGCTTCTGCTGTAGCATCGTTATCATCGCCTCCGGCGATGGGCGTCCAATGGTCCAATGGTGTGTGAGTGTCTGTTTGTCCTGGGTACCTATTCGCATTTGAGTGTATGTGTGTGTCCATGATTGTTGTGTCAGCCTGGGTATATGACTATATAATATATAGTCAAATTATGTATGTGCATACGTTCTGGGTACATCTGCATATTTGCATGCAGGTTTTCTTTTTTGCCCAGGTGCAGCTTGTGGTGCTGGAACCAACCTGGCTGATGAGTGACATCACCAGCAAACTTTACACACCCACCTATCAGCGATCATCGTTCATCACTTGTAATGAGTTTGGCTTTGCGGAGCGCAGCAATGTCGAGCAGGTTCTGGGCAACTGTACCAACTCTACGGTAAAGTTACCCGGGGATAAGGTGCTTGAGATTGCGCAGCAGCTGGGAATGTGTCATCTTACGGATCACGGCAATGAGGTGATGATACTGCCGGCCCAGGCAGAGAGCCGCACAGCTGCCCACTGGCCAGTTGCCGATGAGAAGATTCACCGCCACTACACCGGTCGCCGCCTGCATTGCAGATCCGGGATTGCCATGAGTGCAGCCTTGATGCCAGCCATCCAGCACTCCATCCTGACCGAGCTCTGTGAGAGCGGAGATAGATGCCCAGTTTGGCAAGGTGGCATACGTGTCGTCATGAATCGCTATCCACAGGTCGACACGCTGGTAGAGATCCCCGCCGGACAGCTGGCACTCAACGTCGTGACACGTGGCTACGACCAGCAAGACGTCGCGCGCTTTCAGGAGATGGTGTGGCATCACATCTTGAAGCTGCCACAGCAATTGTCACCCGGCTCTAGAGTCGACATGGTGTTTGAAGATGATGAGCAGCTAAGTAGCAGTGGGCATCTTCGGAAGCTAGACCAGCAAGGAGAGCTCAATGCCGCGATGGCATTTCTTGCTAGCGACCACATCCGTGCCACGCATCTCTTTCCTCCTGCTGCGAAGGATGTTGGCGCTGATCAACGTCGCAAAGACCCACGCTTGACACACGAGTATGCTGGCTCAGCTGATTGCCAGAATGCCAGTAAGTTTGCAATGTGTATCATGGGTGCGTGTGTGTGTGTGTGTGTGCGTGTGTGTGTGTTTGTGCGTGCGTGCATGTGTGTGTGTGTGTGTGTGTGTGTGTATGCTCTCCTGTGTGTATATGTTTTTGTGTGTGTGTGTGTATGTGTGTGTACGTGTGCGTGGTGTGTGGTGTGTGTGAGGGTGGGTGTGGGTTTGGGTGTGTATACATGCATGCACATGACGTGTGCATATGCGTGTGTTTACTTCTATGCACTGTAGTACCCTGTGATACATACCCAAATTCTGTGATAATCAAGCCATGGACTGACCATAACTATCTAAACACACTTATACTGCATGGTGTATATTTTTACTTGCATATCTGCTTTCTTGTGCTGAAGGTACGATTGAAGAACGTCGTCGAGCCTCTCGTCTTTGCTCTGCTCTCTATCAGCACCGTATCTTGCTTAACCAAGACTTCCCTCTGGTCGAGTGCTTGCGGAGGCTGAACCAGAGAGGACAGTTGGAGGAAGCCTTCAAGGATGACGTCGATGAGAAGGTCAGGGAACATCGCACGAGTGATGCAGCCGACATGTTCCGCCAGGGCATTTGCGACTTACCTGACAGTGTGGTGCTGAGCCTGGTGGACGATGTGCTACCCGAACTACCGGCTGCAAACACTGTCTACAGGGCGGTGAAAGACTGCCCTGGATACTCACGGTGCAAAATACCTCCTCATCATACTCATGCGGCCGGTAAGATAATTTTGATATCTATTTCATAATTTTTTTCTCGTAATGCCAGTATTCGCTTTGTAAAGGGAAGTTCCCATAGATAGAGGCTTGCGACCTGTGTTTTAATATTTACCCAGAGTTTAATTGGACCTTTGCTTGGCATAAAAACATCAAGATCACGATTGACCAGCCTGAGGACTCGTTCCGTTGTGCCCAGCACGGGCTTGCAACTAGCTGGTTTGCAGGTGACAGGCGTTGTGAATGACCAAGGGTCCTCGACGCTTGGTGTCACCGTCCAGGAGCGACACTGACTCATGCTGCTATCTAGTGTTCACGGGGTGTTTGTTGTGCTGCAAACGGAGCGTCTCTGTACGTTTGTATCCCTGGTGATGTTCGGGCCTGGAGAGCACTATTATAAGTGATGCTCCTCAGGCACAATCTTCCTCAGCCAACTAAACTGCTCAACTGACTCGTGACATGATGAGGGGTGAATTCCCCGAAATACTGTGTATAGAGTAGGGAGTCGTGCTTTCTTGCAGGTTTGCCGAGTCCACGGTTCGATGGACACTAAAATAAAAAATGATCATGTTTGGTATCAGAGAGGTTCTGCTTCACAAGAAACGTAGAGAAATCACGTGGAAAGCAGGTGTTTGGGTTAGAGTCTACGGCTTCGCGTGTTTTGGGTCAAGATTTCTACGCTGATGAGGTTCTCTACATTGAGGCACACGTGAAACAATTCACATGGATCTGCTGGATATCATTCAAATACAGGCAGAAAACTGCCAAAATTTAATATGGTCGGAAAATTCCCAGTACACATTCAACGTGATTTCTCTACGTGAACGTAGAGCAAAACAGGTTTTCTTTCATACCGACCAACCACAAACATCCCAATCCCTTGATAAGACATGCAGAATCCCTGGAATTCTCTCAAAACGCTTGGGTGGCATAAAACACGTGAAAAAGAGCTTTTCCCGCCCAAAAAACGTTCGACGGCACATGATTCTGGACTCCGCGTACAGCACAGTTCCACCTTGCATTGCAGTTCGATCAGTCGACGGGCGCCTAGCGCGCCTGTCGGTGCAGATCGTGCAGGCTAGGCTGGTCAGGTATGTGAAGGTACTGTGCAGAGTTCGAACTGCGAGAATGCACAGTGCATACGGGGTATAATATTATTTGGAAAAAAAACGGGATATTGGAGGTGAGTCCCTTGAGCTTTGAGGAAAAACCTGGGTCAGGCAAAAAATGTGACTTTTCCTGGAGTTTTCTTGAAATCCACGGGACCCCGGGAGTATTGATGTTTTTTTCATTTTCCCCCGAAAACCGGTCGGCTTGACCTGTATGTTCTTTACATTACAGGACCACGAAGAGAGTTCCAGGAATTCTTCCCGTCGTATTCCCGTAACACAGGGCATCACTACTGTTTTTCAAGGGCTGTTGTTTGGGCAATATCGTGGCTGATGCTATGAAAATAAGGATTATATATCCATGAGTGAAAAGGCTTTATGCCCACGTGTTTGTTCCTGACATATCTGATTGATAAAAATAGCATTGTGTGTATTGTGTGTATGTGTGTCCATCCGTCCGTCTGTTTTCTGTGTGCGTATGTGTTTGTTTTATATGCTGTCTTGTCTATAGATGTTGGGGTGAGTTCTGGCATGCAGTGTTCGGCATCATCTGGTGAGTTTTGTATGATTTGGTTAAGATCATTCATCACTGACCTCATTGTTCTGCTACCTGTGTTGTAACAAGTACCATATTCCTAGGACTCCTGGGAACTGTTCCCACTGCCTTCTGCCTTGCTGTCTCTTTAATGCTGTCTCTTTCGCTCACTATTCTCTCTCTCTCTCTCTCTCTCTCTCTCTCTCTTTCTCACCTTCCCCCTCTCTAGTCCTTTCCCAAAGATGCTCGCCACCGTTTTCTCAACTTTTCGTTGTTTTCGAAGAAATTGCAACTTTCGCAACCTTCTTCATTTTCCCGAACTACTTTGCAACTTTTCCGCAACCTTGGCCCCATGGCATGGGGTCCAAAGGCATGTCGGACAAATTTATACTCGCTCATTTCATTTCAGAGAAACAGTAGGTCAACAGAAGTTACGATATGTACATTCCCTTTTCCGTGAACTGGAATGATGTAGGACACATGCAATAGGCTACTGGCACTGTGTAAAGTGGTGGTTCACAGCAAGAAGGGTGTAGAGTTTGCTGTCACTGCACTAAGCAAAGTCTTCTGCTATTTCTGCTCCTTTTTTGGTGGTTTTCCACAAGAACCCTCTAATATTAAAGGTTGCAATGTTAGCAACTTTTGAGCTTTTTCTGAAAATATGGATGCGATTTCAGCAACTCACACTTGTTTTGGCATTGTTGCAAAAAGCGTAAGTTGCGAAAAATTATAGCATCTTTGGGAAAGGGCTACCCCTCTCTGTCTGTCTGTCTGTCTATCTTTCTATGCATGACTATCTCTATGTGTATACTTCTTTCTCTCTCAATTTCTCTCTCTCTCCGTCCTTCTCTATTAATTTTATCTCTCTCCCCTTTTGTTTAGGGGGGGGGAGGGGATAAAGAATTAAACATGTTTATTTCCCACACTATGGAAGGGTTGGATATGCTTAGATATGCTTGGACTCTTGTTGATTAAGTGGCCATTGTCCGTCTTCACTGCTCATCTATATATTTCAGGTTGTGAACATATTGGCTCTTTCTGACTGCCTCAGGGATCATCGCTGGCCGCAGTATTTTGTTAATGCTTCTTTCTTCTTTGATGTTCTTTCGGACTGCAATGTACCTATTGAAGGATGTCCAATACAGCAGCATTGTATCTATGACTCTTACTACGTACAGATGCGTTCCTGGACAATCCGTTCAACCACCCGTCCTTCATGCCAGACATTCACGTGTGGCTGCAGAGCATCCCCGCGGATGACATCCGTGAAGCAGCGCAGAGGCAAGGTTTGCTCACGGACCACAACATCGACAAGCTGATACGCACAGATCGGTACCAGAGCAACAGGGAGCATAACTGTGAGCTGCTTCACATCATCATGAACAAGGAGAGACAAGGTTACATCGCGCTGTGCAGGATGATCCGAGCCATCGGTCAGTATGCGGGACGGCTGGAGCAGATGAACAGCCTACTAGCGGAGTGCGATCGTGTCTGAAGGTGAATGTTTCTTACTTGTAGTGCATGCACACACATCCATACAAACTCATCCCGTGGTGGTGGTGGTGGTGGTGGTGGTGGTGGTGGTGGTGGTGGTGGTGGT